GCAGATATCCTTAAAAGGAGAATCTCCAATTCCCTAAAGAAGAAGGCTTTTCCTCGCAGCAACTCTAAGAGTGATATTCTCTAGCCACCCACTATTTCGGAGCAACGTGAAGGACAGACTTCTGCATATTACCACTTTATTGTGCATATATCAGTCCATCTGCTCGTATGGAGTTAGGTAAATGAGTCGTTCTATGCGAGTCCTATCAAAACGTGTTAAAGAAGATTACCCAGTGTGACTGCAAAAAGTGGGAAGGCACCGGTTCACAATCAGAAGCGGCACAACTGAACACCTCATCAGTAAAACTGTCACAACATCTCAACTGAATTATCATTCTGAGTCATTTACAAAGTAAACAAAAAGCTACCTACCGAAGGCAGTGTGTTTCCAACTTCTCTTTACTGAAAAAGCCCTCGCAATATGCATGGGAAAGCCGGAGCTGAGGGTATTCAAAAGAAACTAGTCCAACCTTCACAACTAGCATGGATTTAGTTCGGTATGTTCCCTTAGCCTTCGGTTGCTTTTTGTTCTGTACGCTGTGTGTGTGATTATTCTCTCTTTGTCTTCATCCAATTCACCTCGTTTCTCTTTTCATTTATAAGAACAGTTATTTAAAAAATTTTTTCCATGCTCTTCCTGCTCACACTTGTAATTCATTTAAAGTAATAACTATTTTACGATTATATTCTAATCCTCTGTAACTGTTAGTTCATAAGCCTCTTGTAATCTATATTCACACCTCCTAACTTCCATTTCAAGTTGAAAATTATGATTGTTTCAATTTGTTTCCATGCTGATTTTGTTAACACCTTGTTATTCGTTCTATCCCTGCGTAATTTTTGTTTCTAAGCCTCCCCTTGTAATCCATATCAAGTTGGAAAGTTATTGTGGCCTTTCATTCGCCTTGGTAATTATGTGGAATTGAATAAGAATAGTAATTGTATCTATGTAAATTTATGCATATAAATGTGATTGTACAGCTGCTTTTGAAAATGAAATCGCCGAAAAGATGACAGATGTCTGTGTTGCTGAACTTCGTGTTCTTCCCCCTCTAACATCAAAGGTGAATCACAAACTCTTTCTGTATGCATAAGCTGGGTTGTATTCTCAGGATCTCTGCTGTTTCTGTATAAGGTAGGAGTCCACTGGCAGTTTGTCTACCTGCTCAATTACTCACTTACTTACTCAACAACAGTATGCGAATCGTAGACACCACTTTTATCTAACAAATCTTTTAGACACTGCTGCACGCCATAGTGTCATATCTTTAAGCAAATGTCCTGGGATTTATTTTGTTGCTCTTTTCTCCAAAACTGAGTGCTACTGAAAATACAGTTGAATGAAATGATATAAATATTATTTATTATTATGATTATTGTTTCCTTTAGTTCCCAGAGGAACAAAGGGCTTCAGCTGCACGTCCATATTGAGTTCGGGATTCTCCACCAACGTTTTCTCACCTGGATTCACGTCTGCTCACATGCTTTCATCTCCTCTTCACATCACCTCGTCCAACTCCTCAATGTCACCCTCACATTGACGACCAAATAACTCGCCACTTACCACTCGGGTTTTACTCGATATATAGAGAGAGGGGAGCATGGCGTGTGATGTCACTCACTTGATGGTTTGTTTTCTCAGGTTATGGTGACAATCCAATCCACCTCCACTTCTTCATGCATAATTGTTACACAATTGCTTCCTGCTTGGTTGGGATGGGTTGGGTTGGTTCATTGCCAGAGATCTCTCTCTGTTGTCGATCTCTTCTGGCCAGCCATCTGATTTTCAGCTAGCGAAGTACTGAGAGAATGCAGCTGTCAATGACGATGTGGTGCGGCGTGGCGTGGCGTGGCGCCAATTCTCTGATCCGTATAGTAAGTAGTACTGACTTCACATTGGAGTTGAGATACCGGATCTTATTATTCATGCTGTGTGCTGTTCATCTCCACACGGCCTTGATGTGTAATGAAAGCTTGCCTTGCTTTCCCGATGATCCTCGCGCTGTGATGATATCCTTATAAGTTCCGTTCGCCTGTAGTTGAAACGATGCTTCCCAGTTAGGTAGGTGAAGTAGGTTGCTTCTTTCAGATTTCTCCCATTTCTGCTCGCTGATTGTTGTGTGTTGTTGTTGCTTTGGTTGTTGCTGTTGGCTAGGAGACTTCATCATCGCCTCTGTTTTCTCTATGTTCACCAGAAAGCTTATCGTCTCTGGATGCTTATTTTATCAATAACTTGTTGCTTTTCATGATTGATAAGACTTTATTTTGATAAACCACACAGTTATAATACGATTATGAGCAATAGTTTGTGCTCGAAACGTCATCAGTTAATATTACTGTATAACACTGTGTGATTTATCAAAATAAAATCCTATCCATAATGGAGTTATACTCTACCACAGTGCCAAAGTTTTATACTTATATCAGTTGTTGCTTTTCAATTGCATATCTTCCAGTTTGTGCGAAATAAGACATATATCATCGTCGAAATGCCGATCCACATCCTCCAAGTTCGTTTTTGTATGGGTCCATTTTATTTGTGTCTCCTCGTTTCCCACTGTGCGTCTGTTGCATTATACAGTCAATCTTCCGCAGTCAGGAGATTAATCATTGGAGATGGTAGGCAGTCTTGTCTTACTCCCGTTTTCACTTCGAAGGATTCCGTGAAATGACTAAGGTAATTATGAATAGCTATTGATAATAAGATTTCTTTAACCTTGTCATGCTGCACAATAGATATTCTATTCAGTTTATCATATAATATTATCAAAATAAGGCAGTACTTTCCTTTAGTGTAGATAAATTAAGTTAAGAGCTACACCACTGCTTCCTCATATATTATGATATGTATGTATATGAATGTGAAAAGAATTACTTTGTCAATTCCTTTCCTATTTCCCTCTTGTCATTTCAGTTTCTTGTGTTAAAATGTATGCTACTTACTTCTAGTAAGTAGTAAAAATATTCATTCAGACATTTAGAAAAAGAAAAATAATTCAACAGAAAAGAATGTACTTTTGGATAATTCCCTCCTCTTCTGGCTCTACAATTATATACGTACATGTTTATCTACATGGAATGTTTTTTTCTAGAATAGTAGTCGTCAATAACAACATCGATTTGTTAAGTAAGCGCACGATGGAATTACGGACAGTTCACGAAAGATGCATAAATTATAATAAGAAGCATAAAAATGTGATAGTAAGTAGAATATCAAATAAAATGAAAAAAATTTCTACAACAAAAAATTGAGGATCATTCGAACGGAGATGGCCAAGGTAGGGGCAGTGTTTGAACCAACTTCTTATTTTGGATGCATACATAAGTTAGGTTTCTTAATGTGGATTCCAGCAGCCAGCCTCAGCAATATTGAGTAGACGAACTTGTAGCGGTAAATAATTCCCCAAAATTATTAACCACAGTAATCATCACTCAACATTGGATGCTGACCATCACTGTTTAAGTCGACTTGTTTAGCTGAAGGCTTACGGTCAAGCATCCCCGCCATTTGGTGCTCCGTCGTGTCACGTGCGTGCACGATTACTAGCTAGCTAAGCATTCATTCCTACCCGCGATTTGGTCCCAAAATATATATCGTATTTGGACGACAAAATCTGGTCTTTTGCTTTACCATTTGGTACTCGAAGAACGAACACTATAGTGGTTGTTGGTATAAGATCTTGCGTTAGTATAATCCGTACAACTCGCGAACGTCGATACCCTAACCCTAAACTGGTGAGCCCGTAAACTGGTGAGCCCAACCACGAACTACATCTTCAATTCACACGCAGATAAACCCGGTGAGTTCGTTCCTTTTTGTGTTTATTCTTGTACTATATTGTTATCGGCATACTTTTCGTCATGAGTGATCCTAGCCCCAAGGTTATTCAGATTCGCTCAACCGCCAAAACAATCCAGCTAGTACCATATTGGCCAGATAATGCTGAAACGTGGTTTCAGATTGCTGAGTCTGATTTTTGTGAACATGGCATAACTGATCAACGTTCACAGTTCCTTGCAGTTATTCACGCTCTACCGCGGGAATTCAGCAGGTGCGTAACTCTGCAGATGTCGGTAAGTAACTCGTACGAGTTGCTAAAAGCATCCATACTCAAGAGAAACGTTCTCACAGATCGACAACGTCTGGATGAGTTATTTCGTAACATCGAGTTAGGAGATAAGTCAGCCGTGAGCATGCTGGCAAGAATGAAAGAGATCATTGGCCAAAGTCAGTTCGATGAAGGACTGTTTAGAGAACTATTTTTATCCAAACTGCCACAGTCAGTTCAGACTGTACTTGTGACACTTCAGGGTGTTCTCATAGATGACTTAGCTGTCTCTGCAGATAGAATTCTAGAGATAACGAAACGGCCAGTTACCGAAGTATACTCAGTTACCGAACAGGCTTCGAAGAAGGATTCTGCAATGATAGAGTTAATCAACTCCGTCCAGCAGATGCTTAGGTCAAACAAGCCTAGCAATTCCTCCTATCGTCGTTCTAAATCCCCTCAACGGCTAAACGCACGTGGACGATCTAAGTCCAACACACGTTCTCTCAAAAATCCTGACTGGTGTTGGTATCACAACACCTATGGCAAGGAAGCGAAATGTTGTCGACAACCTTGTGATTTCGGCAAAGCCTCCAAGTCTGTGGGAAACTATCCCGCCGGCACGCGTTAGCGGCAACCGTCGCCGGTGGCACTAGCCGCTTACTTTACATCCATGATGTAATGAGCCAGACTAGATATCTAGTCGACACAGGCGCTGAAGTCAGCGTCCTTCCTGCCACAGCAGCAGATCGACAGAAGGATCCTAACTTCAACCTACAGGCTGCAAATGGAAAACCAATTGCAACCTATGGTCGGAAATACGTCTATCTGAACGTAGGTTTACGCAAACCTATTCAGTGGATTTTCCTAATCGCTGACGTCACAATGCCCATCATTGGCACGGACCTACTTAATCATCATGATTTACTCGTAGACGTCCGCCGTAAACGACTAATTGACAACACTACTAGTTTGTCTATCAAAGGCATAACTTACAGTGGCCCCAGCTTGTCAATCGTTAAGATGAAAGCAATCCTCGATCCAACTTTTCAACCGATTGTTGACAAATATCCGGAACTGAATTGCCCATCTAACGATCTCCCGTGTATAACCAGCAATGTTATGCACCACATCATAACCTCAGGACAGCCCGTGACATCTAAAGCACGACGACTGGCCCCTGATAAACTGAGAATTGCCAGAAACGAATTCGATCATATGCTCACCCTTGGCATCATTCGACCATCGAATAGTCCATGGGCATCCCCATTGCATATGGTACCGAAAAAGGATAGCAACGATTGGCGACCCACTGGTGATTACCGGCGAGTGAACGCCAAAACAACTCCTGATTGCTACCCTTTGCCTCACATACACGACTTGACGGCAACGTTATCTGGAGCATCTATATTCTCCAAAATCGACTTGGTTAAAGCATATAACCAAATCCCGATGGCAACGGAAGATATTCCGAAAACGGCTATCATCACGCCTTTCGGACTTTTCGAATTCCTACGTATGCCATTCGGCCTCCGGAATGCGGCCCAAACATTCCAACGCTTCATCAACGAAGTATTTCGCGGTCTCGACTTTGTATACTCATACTTAGACGACTGCCTCATTGCCAGTCCAGATAAGGAAACTCACCTTAGACACTTGGACTTGGCATTTGAAAGGTTACGCCAACATGGTGTTACCATCAATATACAGAAGTGTCAGATAGGCGTTGACTCACTCGATTTTCTGAGTCACACTATTGACTGTCAGGGCATTCGCCCACTGGCTACTTCGGTCGATCACTCTAAGAAAACGCGTTCTGGACGTCACGTTAGATTCCCAGAATACCTTCACACCTATTTCACATAACTGAGTGACACATCAATTGTTTTTTATGTTGCGTCATTTAACACAAGTAAATGATATTTTTCCTATAACCGTACATAAAATTATATAAGATGTATATTTTTTTTTCCCGATATTTTGAACTTTACATTATTTTACTGTATAGTAGATGCATGTCATATTTTTTTTGGTAAAAAAAAACGCTTATTTGGTACATTTTTCTTGACAAGGTTCTCAGCATTCTTGTTTTCTTTTCCAGGTGCAACGGGCACTGGACAGGAAACAAACGAAGCACGGGATCCAACGAACAACACCGAGGAAGCTATGTACAGACACCCTATTAGCATAGGCAGACAGACCAGCAGGCTCTCAATCAAGCCGCTCGGAAGATTTTTTTCACCCATAAGGGAACCATCGAGATTTTTTTACTTCCGGCTGGTCATGTCTTAGGGTCCTCACAAACCCACTAGGGGGGGGAGTGAGCTGTAGCGGTAAATAATTCCCCAAAATTATTAACCACAGTAATCATCACTCAACATTGGATGCTGACCATCGCTGTTTAAGTCGACTTGTTTAGCTGAAGGCTTACGGTCAAGCATCCCCGCCATTTGGTGCTCCGTCGTGTCACGTGCGTGCACGATTACTAGCTAGCTAAGCATTCATTCCTACCCGCGATTTGGTCCCAAAATATATATCGTATTTGGACGACAAAATCTGGTCTTTTGCTTTACCATTTGGTACTCGAAGAACGAACACTATAGTGGTTGTTGGTATAAGATCTTGCGTTAGTATAATCCGTACAACTCGCGAACGTCGATACCTACAGCCCACTAAAAACTCTTGAGGTGAAGGAAAGATTAGGTGGTATGCACGGCAGATGACTTTGAAACCCTCCTCATTAACATCAATCTTGCTTTCTTTATCCACAAGATGAGTGAGATAGAATAGCGGTGTGAATGGATTTGGTTTGTCCTTTACTTAACCAACCACTGTTCGGGATGATGTTCGGATAAACGCGCCTAATTGTGAGGCCTATGCAACTTACTGGCTCACTCCACAGGAGCACTTAAATTAGTAGATACATACAGAAGAGGTGAAATCAGGCAGTTTATGTTTTGCTCTCGAACGCAAAATAGGTGTGGGTGGTTTTGAAGACATAGCATAATTCAGCAGCAGCACTGAAGGCTCTTTTTACCGCTGCATTCCTATGGCGTTGTGTTAGTATCTTGCTGATTTTGTCCCCGAAGAACTGAATTTGTAAGAATAAGGCATTTTTAGGAACTGTTGGTGCGAACTTCCTGAAATAATTTGAGTGCCGAGTCAGATTGATTCATTATAAATTATTTAAATTAATCCCAGCGTGTTAAGAAAATCAAAACAAGATTTTCCTGAACGTTTCGCTGTGTAAGCCACAGCTTCCTCAGCAGATTTATTCGGATTTTTATTCTGTTGGTACCTTGGGCTGCTTTGATTTTAGATTCATATTCTTATCAGTAAACTTTTATGGATAACTGTTTTCACTCTGCAACCGTTTACTATTATTAAGTTCCTCATCAAGACTTCCATCGGAGCAGATTGCTCAGGTGTTAATTGAGACATGTGTTTAAAAGTACGAACTATGTTGTAGGTGTAAAGATTAAATAAAGGCATGGAGAATTTCCTCACGACCTGTCATCAGTTAGAGAACCACTGGAAAACCTGGATGAACTGGATAGCTGTCTCGTCGTAGTTCGGGACTAATCATCAGTACGCGCCAACCGGGATTCGAACCCAAGACCTTCTGGTTACAAGGCGAGCTCGCAGACCATTGAGCCCCTGGGACCCAACCTAATGGTCCTTGAATTCTAACTTCTTCCAATTCACGACATAGCGCGACCATTTCGCAATGTCTTCTTAGATGAGTTACTGCCTCATCTTCAACCTGCTGTACCCTACTGGTCACGGCTTCCCACTAGAACCCCAGGTTAACTGCCTGAATAGGGCCAGTCACTAGTGAGCATCAGATTAGTTAAGAAGAAGAAGGTGTTACTAAGATGCCATACTAAAATTGAAAAAACAAAAACCAAGAAGTCAAAATATTATTAACAAAGTCGTAGAACCTGGAAATATACCCAAGGTAGAAGGAGGGGGAGGAGGTGGAAAAGTTTCTTCTTCTATGTGTATAAATCAGGGTTTTCCATCTTGGTCGCTAAAGCCACACTGAGCAATGCGAAGTATACGGAAGCTTACCATTTTCAACCGTAGGCTGGAACAGGCTGGATTCAGGAGAAACAAGTCATGTTTTGACCAGATCGCAACATTACGGATCATCACTAAACAAAGCTTGGAATGGCAGTCACCTCTCTATCTCAACTTCATCGACTTTGGAAAGGCATTCGACAGCGTCGATCGAGAGGTGCTTTGGAAACTACTTCGCTACTACGGTGTTCCATCGACAATTATACATCTCATCCAACAGCTGTACGACAATGCTGCATGCAAAGTAATCCACAACGGGAAACTTACGGAATCCTTCGAAGTGAGGACAGGAGTAAGACAAGCTGGCTGACTACTATCTCCAATGATTTTCCTGATTGCAGTAGACTGGATAATGCGACAAACAGCGGGAAATGAGGAAGCAGTCATAAAATGGACCCACACAAAAAACTTGGAGGATCTTGACTTCGCCGATGATATATGTCTGATTTCCCACAAACTGGAAGATATGCAAGCGAAAAACGACAAGTTGGCAGAAGAAGCATCAAAGATAGGACTTCAGGTGAACATAGAGAAAACAGAGGTGACGAAGATTCCTGGCCAACACCACCAACAGCAACAACAACAACAACAGACAGTAATCAGCATAAATCGAAGGAACCTGAAAGAAACAACCTCTTTTACCTACCTAGGAAGCATCGTTTCAACTACAAGCGGAACTGACGAGGATATCAAAGCAAGGATCGGGAAAGCAAGACAAGTTTTCATTACTCTCAAGTATGTGTGGATGTCAGCAGCATTCAGCGTCAAAAATAAGATCCGGATTTTCAACTCCAATGTGAAGTCAGTGCTACTATACGGATCAGAGACTTGCACTGCGCGTCATAAAGAGAACCTCAAACAAACTACAGACCTTCATTAACAGTTGTCTTCGCTTAATACTCAAGATCAGATGGCCAGAAAAGATCAGCAACAGGGATCTCTGGGAGCGAACCAACACAGCAGGAACCGATTGTGAAACAAATAGGCAGGAAGAAATGGAGATGGATTGGCCATACTCTGAGGAAACAAACCATCAAGTGACATCAGTAAATAAGCCATCGCTCGAGTGGAACCCGAAAGGGAAGCGGCGAGTTGGTCGTCAGTGCAAGGGTGACTTGGAGGAGGTAATGTGAAGAGGAGATGAAAACATGTGGGCAGACTTGGAGCCAGGTGAAGACTATAGCAGAGAACCGAACGCAATGGAGACGCACGGCTGAAGCCCTCTGTTCCTCTAGCAATTAAAGGAAACAATAATAATAATAATACTGATAAAGATAAATGTTGATCCCAGTAGTATAAAACAGCCTTTCCACTTATATACAATCATTTCTGTGCACATTTCGAAAAATCTGCTAGACTGTCAGTGAGTGCAACACATCTGGAAATACAGAAGCATTGTCTTCGCATTAACAAAATAACAGGTCTTTGGTGGATGGATTATAAGTGTCTGGGAAAAATATAACGCTTGAAGTCAATTTTCACACATAAATTTGTTGTGTGCAGAATCCTTGTTTTATAGTTCATTGATGTGTTATTTTGAAATCAGTGATATGTTTATCTCATTTGATCTGCAGTGTCATTGTTGGGAGTAAATACATAAGCTTACATACATACACAACACACGGATCACACACTTGACGATGATGATGACGATGATGAAGAAAGAAAGCTGACACACAAACTCCGGTTGATAACAATTATCCAGACAAGTTCATCAGGAGGTATTATGTAGTTGGAACAGCAAGATCCACTCTGCAACTCACCACTAAGAAAGATGTGTACATCAAGCTACCCTACACATGGTGGTCACAGCAGCTTGCTAACTCCACAAAGACTGAACGCTGGTGTGGTTCAAAAGACTTTTTATGCAGCTAATATCATAATAATTGAGAATATGAAGCCAATATATCCATCCATGTAAGCCCTTTGAACATGCGAAACATGATGTCATATTCTCTCACTGTATTTACCAATTTGAATGTATGTGTGGACACACATACATGCATAAGATGGAGGACTCATTGGTCACTGCAGGTTAGGGCTGGCTTCACAGAATATCCCTAAATGGCTTCAGAAGCAAAGTGAATCTGCAGGACCCATTCATGATAAGAACAGACGACGACCTAGATCCTCTATTGCGAAACATATCACAGAAGTGAAAAGACATAAAATTGATGTTTACACGTCTTTTAAACCTATCTATATAACGTCTTCAAGGGAGGGAGTATCCTTAAGTTTGTGGAAGCTCTAGCTAGTAATTAGGATGTTTAAACCACCTTTATGCTTTCAAAGCAACGATGCGTCATCACACTAAACCTAACTTTCTTGGTAAACTTCATTTTGATGGGAGCCAGGTTAGATGTACTCATATTGCCTCTGTTACTTGGTTTAGTGATCTTCATTGTTATTTCGACCTTCAATATGTCCTCTTTTTAACTTGACCTAACTTGTGTATTTTGTCACCTCTTAAATCTTTATTAATTTCATATATGTATGTGCTCCTTTGACAAGTCAGTGTGTGTGTGTGTGATAGATCAGATTTGAAATAAGAACAAATTAGTTCAACGAAGAGTCTCTTTTCGGCGAATTCATTCACTTAGCTGTACAGTCACAAATATATACAATTAATTGTGTGTGTGTGTGTACATTAGGTTTGTCAAAATCAAAATAACATTTAGTGTGGGTTGTTGATTACATCATCAAAATAATTAAGAAATTAAAATGTGTGATTAATAATCAAAGTTGTAACTAAGTGTGGTGAAGATTGGTAAGATGTGAGTAGGGTTACGTAATATGGACATGTTTAGAAAGATTAGATGCTAGTGAAGGAGTTTGGAGACAATTATGAAAACAAACTAGATCATAGGTGAAAAGATTGAATGGGTTAGTTACTAAAAATTATTATACGAAAATTGCAAAAAAATTGATAACAAAATGTTGATGACAGATAAACTTGAAATTAAACCCACGGTAGTAGGAGGGGGTGGAGAAGTTTCTTCTGTGTGCATAAATCAGGCTTTTCTATCCAAATCGCTAAGGCTTCGGTAATACAAAGTATACGGAAGCTTGTCGATTTTGGAAGGCTTCTTTTGACTTTATAGATGACTTTGAACGACTTCTCCTTGCAAATCGAATGACCAGTGTTGAGTATATGCTCAATAATGGCGCTCCTTATTGCTCCGTTGTTACCTTTCCGTAGCCAGGCGGGATAGTGTTCTGGAACTCTTCTAGATAAAACTCGCATCGAACGACCTATATACCTCGCTCCGCAAGAGCAGGTGAATTGGTAGATACAC